CTGACGGTATGATTTTTTCCGTTCCATATGAAACCAGTGTATTTCTGTTCTTCTCCGAAATCATGGTTCTTCGCCATATTTGTCTTCACTCCGAGACAATTGCTTAGATTCATGATGTCGATGAGAGTTGTTTTGTCACCCGGCCTCTTGAAGATGAGGTTATCGTCAACCCATCGGAAGATTGCGCGTAGGTTCAAGATGATTTTGATGATTAGCTTCCAAATGTGTGCAGGTGCGCCGAAAACACCGCAACTGGCTACACCTCCAAACCCCACCGCAAGATCAATCCACACCCGATTGTAAAAGTCCAATATGCATAGGAATCTTCGTTGGCATGGATGGACTGGTAACTGTCTGTAGGCTTTCGCCCAGTCGAAAACTGCCAGTTGCCACTCCCCAGGATTGTCTCTAAAGAATTTTGCCACATTTGCGAAGTCGTCCCAGTAAGTCTCATAGTTCTTTTTGTTCACGAAGGAATTTACTGAAGGGATGTTCTTGTTGTGTTTTGGATACGACAGATCATTTATTAATCTGATTGATCCGTCGCCATTCACTGCGCTACCCATTGGGTTTGTTCTGAAGAACCCAAATTGGTTGTAGACTTCTTCTCTAGTGAACGGACCAGCCAGTCTGCCTGCCAGAGCTTCTTTGGCCATCGTCGCTTCGATTTCTCTTCTTGCGTTGACCGCCGACGCGTGATTCGGCGGTGTGAACCATTTCATTCCCTCGAGATGGTGTTGAGGAATCCCTAAACAGAACCCTTCATTGAATCCTTTGGTTATGTAGGGTATATCTTCATGTAATCCGACTTCCTCCATCAACGCCACCCACTCTAGTACCTTCATTTGTGACTTCACTTCTGATGGCCACAAGGTCTTCGCCGGGACTAGGAAACATTTTCTCTGACTTAGTGGTAATGGTACCTTCTTCTCCAACTCTTTCTCCTCCTCTGATTCCGAGTTTGAAACTTCAGACTCTTCTAAGCCGTCTTCTCTTTCTCCATCTAGATCGTGTACCTCAATCTCTACCAAGTCATCCTCAAAGTTCTCACTCCTCTCTCGTCTTTCTCTACTACGGTCTAAGAAGAGTTTGGGTCTCAGAAAAATTCTTTTATCTTTTCATTTCAAGCAATCATTTTCTAAATAAGCGTACCGATTACAACACAAGATCATCCACAGTGATGCATTAAACATGGAATAGGAGACGTAACACAAGCGGAGATAGATAGAAATTACAATCAATTCGACAAGATTTTTGGATAGAATTCAAAATGGGCAATTTCAAACCGTCAGTCTCGTCATCTTTGCATCGAATGTAATTGGATCCTCACCTGTGGCCTTGGTAACCTCCTCGTCCATTTCCGTTATACGGCTTAGGAGGGCCCGACAAACCCTGTCCTCCCGCTTGCGGGTTCGTTTCCGTGGAGTTGCTTGGCCCTGCCACTGGTGCTACGAACCCTTGATCCACCTGAGGGATGGTTTAATGCGCTTGGTGGTGTGCAAATGTCTAAAATCAAATTCGACCTATCAGTAAGTCTTTGTTTTGACAAGGAAAAGTAATGCTTATCAGGATTGATGCTTACACCCGGTGCGTTTTGAAAACCACCTCTTCCTGGTCTACCCCTTCCTCTTCTTCGCTTCGTAAAGTGCTTATTCGCATTAGCTTTATGATGTGAGAAAGGCGTCGGGTTTGGTCTGTTCAAGTCGTGATGCGAGGCATCCGAGTCATATTTGTTTCGGCCCGTGAAAAAATCAACTCCAAACTTCACGTGTCCTGGAGCGTATGGATTCGTTTCATAAAACTTCAGTTCACCTGCAGCTTCAGTATCCCATCTTGCCTCCTCTTCCACTCTCTTTTTCCTCCCTTTCGGTAAAGTCATTTTCTTCCTTCTATGCTTTTTCTTCTTCCCTTTGTTGCTAGATTTATCTCTAAATATCTCCATTCTTATGGCCAAATGATATCTAAGAGCCACTAACCAGCATTTATGACGTTCTTTTATCTTCTCTACGATTTTCATATGCTTTTTGATGTATACAGCGTATTTCTTGAGTCCGTAGATCTCGCTTGCGTATCTGGCCTCTAAGTTACAGGCTTGATTGAAATCACCGTGAGTAAATTGGCGTTCTCTATCTAACTCTGACACCTCTAACGTCTGATTAGATGATTGCTTCTTTCTTTTTGAACTTGAAGATCTGAAACTTTCGATGTAAGAACGTCTAAATACCGATAGTGGAACGTAAGAATTCATTTTTCTAAAGTTTTTCGCCCATTTCTTAGGAAGGTCCGGAAGTAGATTCGCTCTATTATATCTATCATCGTCACTAGAAGAGGAACTTGAAGAGTCTGACGAAGATGATGAACTGGAGTCCGATGAATCAGAATCGTCGTTTGACGAGCTCGATGAATCTGAGGAGGATGAGGACGAAGACGAAGATGAAGATGAAGAAGAGGAATCTGAGCTGGAATCTGAGCTTGAACTTGAGCTCGAGCTGGAACTGGACGAGGAATTGGATGAAGTAGATGATCTTCTCTTCCTCTTTCCTTTCCCTTTCCTCCCTTTCTTTTTCTTCTTAGACTTTTCTTTCTTCGAGAGATCTTTGGGATCTTTTGAACTGTCTTTCCCAGATCTTTGTTCAGCGGTTTCTCCTCCTGTGACAAAGGCTGATCCGAATTTCTTCTCAAACTTCGATTTTAACTTCTTCACTGACTTCTTCTTGCCTTTCTCTTCTTTGACTAGGATCAGATCAGAGAGTTTCTTCTTCTCTAACTCGAGCTTCTTGTTCTTTTTCTCTAGTCTACGAGCTTTTTTCTTCTCTTTCTTGGACTCTTTATCTTGTTCTTTCGAAGAGGTACCCGCTCCCTCGTTCGACTTCTTGGTTATCGAAGTTGTCAGGTCTTGTGGTCTCGCATTCAAGGACGTGTCATGCGATGGGCCTGTCGATGACTGAGGGTTCTGATCTGGTCGCAATGTCGACGACACTTCTGCCTGATTTTGAGCTATGCCGGCTAGGTTTCTCGAAGTGGGGGTCCTCGAGGACTGATCTTCCCCTGCAACTGGACAACATTGATAGAGAAACCCCGTGAGGAAATGTCAATGCTTCTGCTCTTGTATCACTGGCTTATCTCTTTCACGAATGTATGTTATAGGAGAGATGTTTCCACCGCTATGAAGACTGGAAAAAGGAAATCCGAGCCTAGCTATAATCTGACGATCAACGAGAAAAAAAATTTCTCGGATCAATGCTCTGCACGAGTATGAATAACTTGGAGCTTTGTCGGCGATGCGACTAACCTTTTCAGGTCTCTCGATAATCCTCGAAGTCCCTCTTGGGGCGCTTCTGGATAGAGTCATTCTGTAAGAATACTCTTTGAGGATGAGGTTTTGACCCCTTATCTCTGACAATGGATTTCCCGATGGATTTTGAGATTTTTTTAGGAAATAAAAGAAATAAAGGATTTTACTCCGTTTTTGCTTACAACTGTCGTCTTCAATTAAATTCCTCAGGGACGAGGTCGATTGTCCTGCAGATTTGTTTATATTCAATTCCGCCGAGGCTTGAATCGACGTTCTTTGACTTCTTTCTGTTAGTGAGTTTGTCGTCGTCTCTTTCCCCTTCCTTTCCGAATTCTTCTTAAACTGTAGCTGTGACACTGAGTTCTCTTCGTTTGTTGAAGGAGGTCCTCCTGGACTTGATGGGCCGTTCGAGATTTGGCCTGATATATCTTCTCCGTCTATTCCCGTCATAAAATCCGTATCCGTGTTGCAGGACTTCTGTTGGACCAAGGAAGAGGTTGTCTGGATGGCCGAGGGTGTTGAATTGAAGGATGATAAGGCTCTTGACGCTGCTCTTCTATTTCTTTCCTCCGCTTGCTCTTGTGCTTTCTTCTTCACTAGATTTTCTCTTTCTGAATGCTGTCGAGCTGCTAGTCTTCTTCTATGATCTCTATATTGTGGTAAAAATGATTTATCGAATTTTTCTACTCTGAATCCCATTCAATGTGATTCTTTGTCAAAAATTTATCTAACGGTGCTTAGAAGCACCTGAGAGACTAATAGAGTTTTAGATAGGAAAAAGGATAGCTGTGAGATAGTGAGGAAGATGGAGTGCTGACGGGAAGAAGGAAAAAAAACTACGAGTGGTACACTAGTAGTTTGGTGGGTGAAAACCTCTCCGGTATTTTTCTTTTTCCCACGGGCAGTCCCATACATCTGTATAAGGTTGTCAAACCTAATCGTGTATGTGACATTACACATCTCCAGCTACTTTTCCCCTCCCCTCGGAAATGGACTGTTGAGTACCGTCGCGGGCTTTGGGCACACATGCAATTCCACACCTAAGACAACACACACTCCACAGCTCATGTTATCCAAAGGCTCAACAACTTACTGTAAGAAAGCCAATAAAAGAAGCTTCAAGCACATAATTCTTCAGCTAGGTATGATTCTCTTAAGAAGCTATCCATTTTAAGTCTCAGACTGACACATCTCGTCTTCTACATACTCAATCTCATCATCTCTAAACAAGTATGAAAGTCTGATTTGCAGAATAAAAGTTTTGATGTATAAATATGTAACACCTAAAACCAAATATATAAACGGTACTCAAAGTTGTGTATACTTTGCCGTGCATAGTTTTTTTGTGTTTTTTTGCAACTACAAACAACTTGGAAAAAGTATGTTTCTTGATTGAAGCTCAAAGATATGTACTTTTAAGCCAAAAACATAGTTTTTCCTGGTTGTGTGAAGTTGTGAAAAAAGAAAAGAAAACTATGCACAGAAAAGTATACACAACTTTGAGTACCGTAATAGTATGACAATTCAACAAGAAATCAATCCATTTCTTTCTCCTAAAAAGAATCATTTTCTTCATTTTATAAATCTCCTTTGATCCCAATTCCACAAGATTAGAAAACTTTGTTTTTCTTCTTCTTCAAAAATTTAAATCATTTCTTAATATCTCATTCAACCAACCCATTTTTTTTTCTTCTTTTTCTGTTTTGATTTCAAATTCATTGAATTTTTCCTTTTTTTTAAACACACAACACAATCACACAATCACACAATCACACAATCACACAAGCACACACAATCACACAATCACACAACACAATCACACAAACATCTACAACATAACCACCAAAAAGTGAAAACAAAAAAGTGAAAACCAAAACCTTTATAAAAATATAAAAATAAAAAAATTCAAAAATTAATACAATATACCAAAGAAAAAAAAACCTCAATTCTTCCAAGTGAAAAGATAATAACTAATAAATAATCATCAATAAGATATGTATGTATGTATATATGTATATATAGATGTATGTATATAAATCAAAATGTATTAAATGCAATCACCAAAAAAACCAAAGAATCCAAAGAATCCAAACCCATTGTCAAGGTAAACCCCAAGCCTGAGTCAACCTCTTAGACTGATCCGTAACAGCTATCCTTCCAACTCCATTCGTAGCTCCACTTCCAGCTCCACTTGTACTTTGAAAAGTATTAGCCGTAGCAGGTCTATGAGCCAAATGAGTTTTAATCCCATTCAACCCTTTAACATTCCAAGTGTTTTTCTTCTTAAGCGGTGAACCCCAACCGGATTCATCACCTAAACCAGGTGATTTCTTAGAAGATGATTTAATTGAAGAATGATGATCAGATGAAGATGATGATTGTCTTCTTCCACTCGTTACAATCTTAATAGATGAGCTTGGACTCTTGATCGAGCTTGGTGTATATGATCTCTTACTTTCGGCTTCTGGTATGATTCCTTTGACTTCATTTTCTACTATTACTTCTACTTCTGATACATGATTTGTTCTGAGATGTTCAGCTGTAATGGGTGAACCTATTCGATTTTCATCTTCATTTTCATTCATTTGATCATTTTGACTTCCATTGATCTTATCCGATTCGATTTCTTCTGTAATCAAACCATTGGTAGTAGTGGTAGTGGTAGTGGTAGTGGTGGTAATAGTTCTTCCTAAAGTTAAAGGAAGTCCAGAAGACTTAGGTGTACAAGCTTCTTCTGTTGGTTCTTCTTTATCACGATGTTGATCAATAGAAGGTGATTTGATCGAAGGGTTCATTAAATTAGCTTTATCTAATAAATTATCTCTTACTAATACTTCTCGATAACAAATCAATTTTGATAAATTATATCTCAAGACTCGAATTCGATCAGATAAAGGTAAAATCGAAAGTTGTAATCGATTCTTATTTGAAATTTGAAAGGGTGTTAAAACTGCTAAATTCCTGGCAATCCTTAAATCTTCATTTAATTCAACTTTCGCTTTAATAATCTCCTTTTCGATTTCTTTGATTTTATTCTGATTAATTTTTTGTTTCCAAAAGTAAAAAATGTCATTCAAATCAAATCAAATCAATCCATGTTTTAATTTCGTGAGGTTTAAAACAAACATCAGACGTTACTCACTTTTACCATCTCATACCTAGCCACATTCAACGATCCACCCCCACTCCCAGGCGTCAAAGGCTCATTCCCATTCCCATTCCCATTCCGATTCAATCTCTCAGGTGTATCAGCCCTACCACCCTGATGAACCAAAGATCCACGTCTATTAAAACTCCTAGACTTCAACGATCCATTCATCGAATCAGAAGCTCTTCTAGACCTAGACTTTCTTCCTTCCATCAATTCTTCTTCTTCTGCTGGATAACCCACTGATCGTCCACCAAACGAACTACTCGTACTACCTCTCGATTTACGTAACAAGATACTATTGGCTCCAATACTGCTGGTGGAATGTGATAATGGATTAGATGAAACTTGATCTGAAAGCTGCCATGTTCGAAATGGTAAATCAGTCGATTTATATGTAGCTCCGAAATTAATATGAGCTATGAAAACCAAAACAGAACATCATTCGATCAGATTTCCAGTCTAGATTCATGAAACTCAATCACAGAATCATCTTACTAATCCATGAATTCATTTCATTCTCATCTGCAACCTCAATCAAATACTGTTGTTGTTGTTGTTGTTCTTTTCCCAAAATAAGTCTAAAAGTATGAGGTCGACGTTTATAAGTACTAGGAAAGAAAACCAAAAAAAAACAAAATCCACTTGAGTCAGTGACTTATAAACACCATTGATGTTTCCATTCCATACCTAACCTCTGAAACCCAAGAAAAATTAAAACTTACAGATCTAATAATGCAATTCCATCTTCCAAAGAAAATACAGAATCAGGTTTCAATCCAGTGATTCGAACCACAAGTTGTTCATCCTGATTATCAGCATTCATTCTAGTAGCTTCATAAAAACTTTGTTGAAGTTCATCAACCAGTGTCGTATCTTTCTATTAATTTACAGAAAAAAAAAAAGCAAAAAAAAACTTATCAATAACAGTGGTCAATAAATCAGAACAAATGTATGACCAAAAAAAAAAAAAAAAAAAAAGAGAAAGTGATTTTTTTTTTGGTTATAAAAAATTACAAACCATAAATAATAATTGACTCCTAGTCAAGATCACACACCATTCCTTCCATTTCTTAGCCGTCACATTCTTAATCAATCCATTACTCTGATGATGATCTCCATCACCTGATTCTTTCCTAAACACCAATCCAACTTTAACAGCCTTTAAGTTGATCATCAAACTTTCATCTATTCCTATCAACCCATCTTCATTCGACACTTCTGAAACTAATTTGTTCATCATCGAATTCGATTTACTCGTATTAATGATTTGAATCAAAGGTGAAAACGTAAATGATTTTCTCAATTTCTTCGTATCTAAATATGAAACGCTACCAGTAAAACTAAATGGGTTTCGACTTGGAATCAACGTTTCAAGATCTAATCTGAATTGATGAGTCAATCCTCTTGAAATCATTAAATATGGATCATGTGTTTGTTTTTTATTCTCTCTCAATGATCCTCCTCCTGAATTACTATTCGTACTAGATCCTAAATTAAAAAACGAAGTAGATATTGAACTTTCTGCAGGTACTTCTAACTTCTGTCCTGTTATATCTCGATCTTCTCCTACAAATACAAATGGTGTATATGTCACATTATCATAAATATACTAAAAAAAATTGAGAAAAAAAAAGATTAATGTTAATCAAATTGGTTCAAATTCATGATTTAAAGTTGGAAAATAAAATCTTTACCTCTAGGACTTCACTAGGTACCCCATCCATTCTTGTGTTCTTCACATAATCAGCTCTACTCATCTTACCACGATTATGTTTATTAAAAGCATCGGTATGTAACATAATAATCGAAAATGCTAAAATATAAACCTGATCTATATAAACCCAAACCCAAAAGAAACTCAACATCACAATTCAATTCAAATCAAATTTAAAGACCCGAAAAAAAAAGTACCTGATGAAGAAAACAACTTGGGATTACAAGTCACATATCGTTTTGCAAAAGCTTCCATGACTCGATCGATCTGTTGAGTTTCTTTTGGTAAAGAGATAGTCATGAGTAACTTCCTTAAAGCTAAATCGATCGGATCATGTGCAAACTCAAATGAATCAAGGTAAGTAATAATCGCAGATAAATGAAATGGATCCGGGCTAACCAAATCCCAAATTCAAAAAAAAAAATCAGTTCAATGAAAAAGGTTTTAAAAAGGTATCAAATCACTTACCTAGCTGCTAATGCACTAACAATCATACTCTTTTCTAATGTCTCACCAAGTCTCTCAAGATAATCTTCTGTACGTTCTTCACCATTCCTATCCAAAAGTTTCAACTTAACAGGTAATTCCACTAAGAAACCTCCCGAAAAAAAAAATCAGTCAAAGAACTCAAAAACTGATCCCACCAATTTCATCTTGATTTCCCCAAACCCCCCAAAAAAAATCAACAAAAGTTCACTAACCTTTCATAGGTGCTGTACCACGAGAAATCGTACTAGGTCCAGCTGTCATTGGACGTCGTCGAAGTTCATGATCAGTCGACAAAGGTTTCTTGAGTCGTGATGGACTGTCATGACATGATCCTGTCCTTTTAGATGGATTCACTGGATTTGATGTTAAGAGATTCGATGGAGTTGAACCTAGATTGGCTGTACTTTGACTTCTTGTGATCATACGTGAAAATCGATGTGATGGATTGGTAGAAGTAGTCGTAGGACTTGGATCACCATATAAAGATGACTTGCGAGGGACTGAAACTGAATGTGATCTCCATAAAGAACTTGGTCTAAAAATTTCAACAAAAAAAGATAAGAATAGTCAGATCAAAAGTAAGCATATGTTGTTTTCGGGGAGCAGTCATGGTTCAAAGAAAGCTCACTGAGCGGTTAAAAGTGCAGGCGAATGAATCCGAGGAATCGAAGCAGAGTGATCTTCATCCTTTTGATCACTAGGAGGTGAGGAAGGGCTGACCTTTAAAGGAAGGTGATTAAGCGTTATAGGAGCAGTGAAAGTCTGAAGCAATTGAGTAGGACGAGATGGTGAGTTGGATGACTTTGGAATGGTCTGATTGGATTTAATGTCTTTTAATGAATTAGGCGAAGAAATACTCCAACGATAGATCCTACTGTTCTTCGCAGGTTTAGATACAGTCCCAGTGAAGAGGTAGTAGACACAGATGCATTAACATGAAGATACATTTCTCGTCTAGATTCAGATTTGCATCGCTGCACGAATGGAAGATCATTTCTAACGCTCGGTTGACGATTTTGACCATCCAAGGATCCAGATAATTTAGTAGGTCGGTTATACACCGTGTGTTGTCCTGTGATTGTGGGTCGAGTTGATGATTTGAGACCAGGAAGAGTTCCAAAGAACAACGTGGACGCACGCTGGCGTGAGCTTTCTTGTTTTGGTGACGTCAAAAGTGAAGTCGAAGGACCGTTTGGAAACAACCTCTGGCTATGATCGAGAGAGCCATCAGTCGATCTCATAGGGATGTCTTGATAATCCCATGGAGTCACTTCCATGGAGCGAGAGTGAGCTGATGAGGAGAGAGGAAAGATTTCTTTTTGAGCTGTACTTTGTGTGATGTTATCAACGGAAGCAGATAACGCCCTGGGTAAATCTGGTGTGCCACTTGACGGTGGTCGGGGTGTACCGGACGCAGACTTCTGCCTGTGAAGAGATGTTGTCACCTGATCGGAATTAACAGGTATGGCTGTTGAGATGGTAGTCGGAGATGAAGCGAGACGCAAAGATGATCGAGGATGGAGAGAGATACGAGTGCGAGGGAGGTTCAGATTATCTTCGTGGGAAATATGTGAGGCAGGAGTTTCAACTTCACTTTGATCGGAATGATGTCCAAATAAAGTGGTAGGCTGTGAACTTGTACTACTTAGAGCCGAGGATGGATCAATAGACCTATAAGCCTCCATTGAAACCCGATTGACAGCTGGCCGTGATGAGATATCAAGATCGACAGAATTGGAGGCAAGTACTTTACCCTTGTCTGTTGTAGGTAATCTGGTTAGCTCAACTGAATGTACCATTCGAGCTTTTCCTTTTGGATCACAGATTTGAGACGTGGCGATGAGATGAGCATAGCCTGGACTGGTGGGTGGTCGTTTTGGTTTTTCATGATCAAATCGACCAGGATCGGTGAAAAGACTACAAAGGGGTGAAATAGGCGAAGGCAAGGCTGGTAGCTGATAGACCAGCTCACTTTCTTGAAACTCATCGACAATCGAAGAGAGATTGAGATGTGAGAGATTTTTGAAAGGCCGAGGACTGATTTTAGTTTGAGGTCTTGTATCATTTTCCATGTCGGAGTCAGGATCGGATTCAAGGTCATACTTGCGGGCTGAACGAAGGTTGGGTTTTGGCGTAGGTAAAGGGCGCACTTTACCAAAGCTTGATGACTGTGGCGTCGAAACGGGGTTCTCGGATGAATCTTGAAGGCCTTCAGCTTGAGGCTTGGGCTCAGAGACAGGTGACAGAGGGACGGGAGTGACCTTTTCAAATGACATGTCAGATTCGACCACTCTTGAATCAGAGAATTCCGGAGCGGTCGATGATGTTAGATCGCCACATCCTGTCTCCGAGGATGCTTCTGTCGCTTTGGTAGGAAGTAAACTGTGAGGTCTATAATGAGATTCATTCGCCGAGTTGCCTCTCACATCTTGAGTCTTTGTCTTTGGCCTCAGTCTTTTTCCAATACGGCCTACCAATTTAGCCACTGTTCTACTTTTACGAATCTTGGGTGGTGATGAGGACGATGCTAGAGGAAGTTCTGTGGTGGGATGAGGAGATGTCATATCGGGTTGAGGCTGAGCGGAATTGGAAATTCGTGAAGATACACTAGTGCGGCGATTCATCAAAGACTTGAAAGATTGAAAATGATCAGGAAGAGCCGAAATTGAAGATTTTCGATTAGACATGTCTTCTAGGGACTTTGAGGTGGATGGAGAAGGACGTCCTTGAGATGAAGAGTTTCGGGAAAGTGGATCCGCAAGGGTGGACGGTCCAGATCTTGAGACTGCTTCAGTGTGATACAGCTTTGAAGACCTTGATGAAGGCCTGTCTAAAGCATCGATTGAACCTGCCCGACTCTGATTGACGACTATGACTCCTGTTGAATCGTGATCAAATACAGATGAACTTTCTTTCTTCTCTGCTGAAGGGATCAATGCAGACTTTTGGGGATCATTGAGAGGCGATTGAGGTCTACCAGCTTGAGAGTTGATATGATGGTTCTTATTCTTGATCTGTTCCATAGTGGTTTGAGGTGATGAGGAGGCTTCCATGGTAGTTGTGGAAAGCTTTTGAAGGCTATGAGGCGAGCCAGAGTCTGAAAGATGAGCCAAAGGAGAGTTGATGGTTTGAGTGTCTTGCAGAGTAGGTGATTGGGTAGCATTTCTAGTGTTTGATTCATATTTACAATCTCGCTCCAAAGCATGTTCTGATGCTATTTGAGAGATCTGAGTGAGATTTGGGATATTAGAATAAGGTCGAATTTCTTCAAGTAGAGATAAAGTTCCAGGGAGATGTCTTTGAGGAGAGGGAGAGAAAGAGGGGGAGACCGGCTAGAAACCAAAGCAAAAGGATAGTTAGTAAGATATCTTGAATTTGACAGTGAAACCTAGACGAACCTCTGAGTTGAGAAAAGTAGATTGAAGATCGGTTGATGGCGAGTTAGGTACGGTGACGAATGCAGTGTGAGCTGAAGAAGTAGAAGCTGAACAAGACCTTTGAGAGGGTGGAGAGAGTAAGATAGGTGAATGAAGCTGAGATTTGAAATGATCTGAATGAGATGACATATCAGCTTGATGATGTAAACGAGAAGAAGCACTACGAATGAGTTTATGAATCAAGTTTGATTTTTTGTAAGATGAAGCATTAGGTGAAGTTGAAGTTGAATTTGACTTTTGAAGATGATGATCAGTTGAAGAATGAATGGTTAAGATTGATTTGAGTGATTTGAGTGAATTTGATGATGATTTGAATGATGATTTGAAAGATGAATGCTGATGAAGTGGTGGTGATGGTGAATGAGAAGAGATGAAGTTGGAAGTTGATTTAGCTCTTCTTAAATTATCAAATCGATGGTAGTTTGAGTCTGACTGTGAGAGTGAGAGTGAGAGTGAGAGTGAGAGTGAATCAGATTGATGATTTGTTAAATCTGAAGTTGATGACAACCACTTTACCTTCAACTACATAGATTACAAACATATATTCAAATTAATCATCATCAACCATTAAAACTGATTTATTAAAGATGTCGACTTACACTTTTTAATTTCTTGTTCTCTTGATCAACTTCACTAACATCTGATTTTTGATTTCCAAATCTATCATCAAGAACTTCAAGTTGATGAATCGATGGATTTTCAACTAACATCTCTTTCTTTCTTTCTTTTTCTCTACATAAACTCCAATCTCTATCCACTGCTTTTGATCGGAAATAATTTAATGATGTAATCTGAAGAATTTAAAAGAATGTGATTTGGTGCCAGGATTGGTTAAGAGTGGAATTAATGAAGTAAACATCGGTCTTACAAAAACTTGAATTCAACTCTTAACTCCTTTAAACACAATCTCATTCAATTCAATTCAATTCATTCCATTTCATCACTCATCACTCATGAGAGAAGAGTCTTTGATTCCGTTCATCCCTCAAACACCTACCTCGACACTTGGCATCAATTCAAGAAAACCTGTACTACATATCCATTCGAAAACTATCCATTCAAGATTTCGGTATCACACATCCACTCGTGTGAAATCCGATGAGTTCCTATAAAGCTAAAAACTTATAACTTATCGTTAGGCAAAGTCAAACTAACTACAGTCAAACCGGAAAAGCTTGACCGATTTTGCCCGCAAAACTCGAGCAAATTGGCGGGGAATTGGTGGCAAGCTTTTCCGGTTTGACTGTAGTCAAACACGATGACGATTGTTGTGATGGGAAAATCTGGCAATTGAAAGTTGAAACGCATTTTTTGGGGGGCTAGCAAGATAAGTATGTTACGCGTAATCTGGGGCCATACCACAATGAACTTACCGCATCCCGTCCGATCTGCGCAGTCAAACATTGTAGGGCCGAGTCAGTAGTGCGGTGGGGGACCACGAAAAAAAAGAGGATTCTGTCCCGAACCTAATTTTCGAATTAAGTCACGTGACCACCTCCGTGACTGCGCAAGCAGTCATCCATCGCATTCTCCGAACTTTTTCAACTCCCTTCACCACCTCAACACCCCCTTTTCTCTCACTTCCACGTCCTTTCTAGCTTCGGTCGCGCGGTAGAATGGATCCTGGACCACCTGACCCCGACAATCCGATCGTTTTGACTCCTTGCGACGATCTATTGGTATACGATGACGCGATGGACGCGATCACAGAGGTCGAACCGCTGACCCAACCAGCGGCGAAAGCACCTGTTACGTGTCAAGCTTCAGTCCTCAAGAGGATTGTCCTCCCCTCTCTGAGTGCAGAAGAACCCAGTCCTTCTGCCTCGTCCACTCCTCTCTTGCGTGATCGAAAACGAACACGTTTAGCAACCCCGCCGATCTGCCCATTCGTGGAAGTCGATGAGTTGTCAAGCACTCCTCGATCGACTCGTGTCGCGAAACTGTTTCCAGGGGGCTCAACTCCGAGATCCCTTGATGTCCTTATCCAACGTCTGGCCGAAGTCACGAAGTCCACGCTCGTGCCGAAATCCAAAAAAACAAGCTCTATCAAAGTTGACATCAAGTCAGCAGCCGATATCCTGCTGCTGACTGGGATGATCCAAGAACAGGCCAAGGTCAACGAGGCTAGACGTACCGTCTTTGACTCCAGTCGGAAAACGGTCACTGATCCGGCATCCACCCTCTCGTCAGCTTTCGACTTCAGGGTCTCTACGATTGCTGAGAAAGTTGGAATTCTCTCCGACCAAATTGCAAAGCTGGTGGCTGATGGCCGTCCAGAGCAATTGGGCAAGAAGCAACCCTCAACAAAAGCTTCATATGCTTCGACTACGTCGAAGCATGCACCCAACACCACCTCTTCCACAAACACACCTCATACGAGCCCTCGTGC